CTCTGTATAGTCCCTGAGAAGCAGAAGGACATTATCATCAGTGCCCCCCAAGGGATCAATGCCACATCTACCTTCAGGAGCCGCAGACTCTGAAAGGGTACAGGCTCTGGGAGCTCTTGGGCAAACACCACCCCCTCTGCCCATATTCTGATAAAATGAAGATGGTGATAATACCTACCTCATAGGGTGCGGTAATGATTGAATAATGTATGAATGCAATCACCAAATCCTTGACTCAACTGAGAAAGACCATTAAACGGTGAATAACAGTTATATACACATTAGGGATATGATGATAAGGATCAAATAATGTGTTAATCACCAAGCAAAGGACCATCCGCTGGGGAATAGGTAAGCAGACTGAGGTGCATCCACATGATACAACCTGTTAAATCCATGAACCACTGAGACATGCAACAATACAGATGAATCCTGAATGCATTATGCTAAATAAAAGAAGCCAATTAAAAAGGCTGTGTAGTCATGAGAGAATGTGAACAAAAAGAAAAAAAAGAGGCCACGTAGTATATGATTTTATTCAGATGACATTCTAGAAAAGGCAAATTTTTAGAAACAGAGAACAGCTCAGTGGTTGCCCAGAGCTGGGGATGGGTCGAGGGGAGACTGACCATAATAAGGCACAAGGGGACTTTTAGGAGTTCTGAAAATCTTCTTTATCATGATTGTGTTGATGGTTCCACAAATGTACATGTGTCAAACTTCTTTAAATTGTGCATTTAAAATTGCTGAAGTCTGTGTGCATAAAAGACACCTCAATAAAGCCCATTTAAGAAACAATGTTTTTTAAATGTGGCCAAGCCACCCAGACCCACCGTCCTCTTCAACATTTGTGACCTGTCTTCACCTTCCCCAGAGGGGACCATCTCACCATCTCCTTCAACACTTACTGTGTCCCTCTCGCCATGGAAGTGCTTGCCAAGTGTTAGCTCCTCTAATATTCAAAACAACCCTAAGAAATTATATTGTTAGGATTCCCATTCAACAGAGTAGGAAACAGAGGCACGGAGTTTGAATGAGTGGTGGAGCCATTGCGCCCCCAGAGCTGGTGTGACACTTAGATGCTGCCCACAGGCACATCCCAGTGGTCTTCAAATTGATGATCTAGATTAACTTTCATCATTTTGTTATAAAGGAATTTTTTATTTCGCTGCTAAATTTGACGTGTTATTTTCTCAAATACACATTAAAATAAATACATAATTATAAATATTTTACATTTTCATCCTCATATCCCCTGAAAACACCTTATGTACTCACAACAGCCTCAGTCATACCAAGTGTCCCATAAATATCAATTTCCTTTCCCTCCACATCTACGTTTATGGTCAACACAACCATTTGATAACAGTATCAGGAGGCGACCTGGCACTGTCCCTTCCCATCAGGGCTTCCTTCCCAGGGAGCACAGCTGGCTGACCTTCCAGGCCTTTCTTTTGACCTACCTGGCCAGAACACTTCCACACTCTCCTCAGTGGACTCAGGGCTGGTCAAGTTGAGGGTGGTCCCATCGGTGGGTGACTGTTCTCCCCTGTGGTCCGTGAAGTGGCGTTTCATGATTTGAAATGAGTGCCCAGGGTCTCAGTGCTCCAGCTGTTCAACGAGAGTTGGCTGGGGCTGTACTGAAGCCCTCCAGCTGGCCCCAGCCAGAGTGGACACTGAGCTCCCCATGGTCGCTAAGATCCTAGCTCTATTGTGTGACCTCATCGATGGCACTGGTCTGTTCTGTGACCCATGGCAAGGGCAGAGGCTGAGCCTGGATACCAGGAGAGGCTTCCCAACATGTTCTCATTTCCCCATGGGACCTTTTCTGTCTTGTGTATTATCATGGACATGCACAAACACAAAACACACATACTCTTAACTACTTAGACACACATAAAAACACAAACACAGAGACACAGAGACACTTGTACACACTTAAGCATGCATGGAACCGCTGACTTGGTCCACTTGTGTGACTTACAAAGGGATACCTGATGCTGGGTGATTTATGAAAGAAAGAAGTGTGTTGGGCTCATGTTTCTGCAGCCTGTACATGAAGCATAGTGCCAGCATCTGCTTCTGGTGAGGGCCTTAGGAAGCTTCCATTCTCAGCAAATGGGGAAGGGGAGCAGGTGTGTTTAGATCACATGGGTAAGAGAGGAAGGAAGAGAGAGTAGAGGAAGTGGCAGACTCTTTTCAACACTCAGTTCTGACAGAACTAAGATTGAGAACTCATTACCACGAGGATGGCACTGAGCCCTTCATGAGGGATTTGTCCCCGTGACCCAAACACCTCCCACTAGACCCACCTCTCACATTGGATATCAAATTTCAACATGAGATTTGAAGTGGACACATGTCCAAACTATGTCACTCACACACAAAGAAACACATACGTGGTCACTCAGATAGACATATACACTGTAATACATGTGGCACACACAGTAACATAAACATATGTACATGTGTTCACATAGACACATAACATGCTCACACATACAAATTCACACACGTATTTACTTAACCACACACACATACATGCACACAAACTCATGCCAGATTAATTAACCATACATAGGCTCACATACATACAGTCATCAGCCAACATCAAATGACCCTGCTTCCCAATGTGGAAAACCTTTCCTTCTCTCCCCTGTCTCAAGTCCCCACACTGACTTTGTTTAGGCTCCTCAGCCCTCCACAACCCCACCCCTCCAATCTCCTCTACTCACTCCCTTGCTCAGTTCCTGTGACTCCAGACATTTCACTGCTCCTGGACACGTCCGGCATCCTCCCTTCATGGGCTCTGGGCTCTCACACTTGCTCTTCCTTGTGCCTGTTCCAGGCTCTCCCCTAGGTTCCTGTGTGGTTCCCACTCCTTCTGGTCTCCTCTGAAACATCACCTGGTCAGAGGAGCCTGCCTGGCACCCCCAGGAAAAGAGCCTTCTTTGGCCCCACAGCTCTCTGTCACCTTACCCTGCTTTATTTTTCCACGAAAGCATTTACCACCCTAGGCTCTATATAATGTCTGTGTGTGTATCTCATGGGTTTACCTGTATCTGTCTTCTCCTCCTTAGATGTAAGCTTCCTTCCATCTCATTATATCTCTAGTGTCTAGAACAATGTTTTACATATTAACAAACACTCAGGAAATAATGAGTAAACAGCTGATGAACACGTTGGGCTGACAAAGGCGTTACTCCCTCTGGGAGCTGCCTCCTCTGTGCTCCCTGGATCTCTGCCATTCCAAGGTGGCTGGTTCTCTCCAGCTAGGGCTCTGGGAGTTGCCTCTTACTTCTCCATTTGCACAAACCATACTTCAGCCCCAATCAGCCTGATAAAATGTTCACCTGCCATCTCTCTGCTCTGTAACACCCTAGCACTTCACTCATTTCCTCCAACAAGCTTCTTACCACTTCCCTCTGTGGCTAATCTTTTCCCACCCTTGGTTAGTCTCATCAACTCTATTCCTTTGAATCCCAAATACTAAACAGTTCAAATAGGTGATGGATTAAAAATAATCCCAATATTCCACAAGCAACACCAACATCCCCACACACACCCAGCACCTAGGAATATCCTCCCGTCTAGAATGTGAGGCCACTGTGTGGAGGAAGACACCAGGGTGCTCTACTGAGCCATGAAAGTCACACCTGACCTAAACAGGAGACTATGTCCCCTGGCTAAAAGAGGAAATAGTGTAAGTGCATCCTTTTTTAACAAATAAATACAAAGACTTGACTTACAAAAACAAGAGGAGGCAGCCAGCACAGAAAATAAGTAGGTCATTGGGGGATGGAAGGCAGTTCAGAGAGAGATGACATCATGGAGAACTGTTAAGCAGCAAAGTAAACAGCAAGTCTGAGAGGAAAGGAGACTCAGCCAACAAATGATGCTGAAAAATTATATTTGCTATTTTTTTAATCAACTTTGGCCTCACTTCATGTAAAACAATTAAGAATATTTTCATAATGGTTCAGAGCTTATGTTTTAATGAAAAATGTGTAGAAAGAAAATATGTTAACATTTGTAATTACAAGGTGGTTTTTCTCAACTTAAACAATATTAATCTTCACAAGCATTGAGAATCTTTGTCATCTTTTCTAATTTCACTGCTTTAAAAAACGCACTGTTTTAATTTGCATCCCTCTGCTTTTCAGTGGAACTGGAAAAAAAAGCAAATGAGCAAGCAGTTTCCAGGGGAAGAAATACAGATGGCTGATAAACATTTAAGAAGATGTTGAGTCCCACTGTAATAAGGGAGCTACAACTTAAAACTGTGTGGTATACTGTGTGGTATACAGTATAGCATTTTTCACCCATGAGATAGGCAAGAGTTAAAAAGATGGACAATACCCAGTGCTGGTGAGGACATAAGGAAATGAACACTTTTATTCTCTATTGGAACAGTGTACCTTACCTTTCTCAAAAAGTTTGGTGGTACCCATTAAAATTAAAAGTAGGCAGGTGCTTCCTAGGCAGTTTACTATCATCTATCATCTCTTTCCTAGGGAACAGTCATATTATGTGCTATGTGCATAAAACAGCACCTAGAGAAATATTTATTGCAGCACTGTGTATAATAGAAATAAAGACAGGAGACACTCCTAAGATCCATCAAAATAAACAAACTACAACATAACCGAACTGTGGAATACTACACCACAATAAAAAGAAAGAGATCTATACATACTGATAAGTGAATTCATGTTAAATGAAAACACAAGATACATGGAATACATAGATGGCCTCACTTGTGTAAAAATTAAACACACTCTCCCAAAAGCACTGACCAAATCTATATTGTCTATGTATCAAAAGGCACAGAGGAGATCTGAAAATAATCACACCCAAGAGAAAACAACATTGACCTCAAGAAAGAGGAGAAAGATTAGGTGGGGCTGTGTGAAACCGAATTTTCCAAACATGGCCACACCAGTCTATATCACAACCCACATGCTTTTCTGATAGCACGACAGGGTCCCTCTTCCTAAACTAAGGTGGATTTGGTAACTGCCTCTATCAACAGAATGCACAAGAGTGATGTTTTGTGACTGTCAGTGCCAAGTCATAAAAGATGTGATTTCCTCCTGGTTCCGTCTCCCCTCTCCTTTGGACTCAGCCACTATGTTGTGAGGAAGCCTAGGCCCCATGGAGGGGCCACATAGATGCATTCCAGGCAGCAGCCCCAGCAAAGGTCTCAATCAACCACCAGTGTGTGAGTGAAGACACCTTCAGATAATTTTGCTTCCCAGACATCAAGTCTTCCGGCTGGGTCCAAGACATCACAAGGCAGAGACAAGCCCTCCTCTCTGTGCACTGTTGGAATTCCCCACCCACAGAAACTGTGAGTGTAAAAAAAGGTGTTTTACACACTAGTTTCTGGGGCAATTTGTTACAGGCCATGGTAATTCAATGGACTTTGATTTTCCCTTTAATGTGTAAATATGTTCTAATGAGCTAGTTGGTTGACCAGTATCTGTGCTCTGTGCATCTTCCTGGCCCAGTCAGGGAAACCTGGGGGCCAGGCGAGCCCTGTGGTTTTCCCAGGACAACTTGGGAGGATGGTTCCCATCCTTACCCCATAGGAAACAATTTATTAGATTGCAATGTTTACATACAGTTGCTTTTGTAAAGACAAAAGCTTTACAATTTGGGGCCCAATGTTTTCCAAAGTCCCTGAGTCAGGTTTTTCTTTCCCCACAATCTATAAACGTTCTTCCTAATCCTCTGAAAAATTATACACTGTGAACTCCCCTTAGAGATAGGGAGCTTGGCAATTCAGAGGGGTTCGATGAGCCTTGGGTGGGAGAGCTAGGGGAGAAGCGGCCTCCATCTCAGGCCTGGGGGCAGGGCTGCATGGCCAGGTTGCTCTGATGTTTCCTGTGGGCTACTTCCCTGGGCCTAGCTTGGAGTGAAGCCCCTCCGATGGTGAGCGATTGTCCTCCTCACTCACGTGGCCTCTGGGCTGCTTCCATCTATGGGAAGAGCCTCTGCCCCAGCCGCTCTGCTTGCTCCATGCAGATACTCAGCTGAGACCACCCACACATGGCTCCCACCCATCCCCCTGCAGCTCTCCAGTGGGTTTTCCATCCTTGCCAGGAACCTCCACACCTCACTGCTGCAGCCAACAGGGCTGGTGTGCAAACCCCAAAAGGACCAACGCAGCACTTTCTTGGAGCTCTGACTCCTGGCCAGTTCTTTGCACACATTGCATGCGAGTCCTAAACCTCATCCAAGAGGCCTGGAATATTTTCTAGTCTTTTATTCCAAAACCTACTCTTCCCAGCCTCTGTTTTTCCCAGCTGAGGAGGCTAACAGGAAACAAAGCGGCCACAGCCACAGCAGGAAGCAGAGAGGCCGTGTCTCTCTTCACTTCTAATTCCAGAGCTTGGCTTGCGTCCCGATCTGGGCTGTGGGGAGAATCACATCATTCATTCTGGGGTCCTTGGGAGTCCAGAAATAGTCTGTCCACCCTGCCAAGGGGTGGTGCTTCGGTCTTAATGGTGGCATTTCTGTGGCTAGAGCCACTGTGTAAAGGTGTTGCAAGTGGGCACCGCTCCTGCTCTTCTCTCCACACCGAAAGTGGGGCCGCTCTAGTGGGGCAGGTGCCTTGCCACCCTCCCAAAGTTCTCCTATTATCAGATTTAACACCCAAGGCCGGGGAGAAGCGGGAAGCTGCCCGGACGCTGCGCAGCAGGTTTGCATGGAGTGAGGTTGGTGGTGTTCAGAGTGGGAATTTTTCCCTGTGAAGGTCAGTCCTCAGGGCTTAGGGATGACCTCATCCTGTGCTTGGGCTGCAGAGAAAGTGCCAAAAGCTATCAGACAAACTGAGAAGTGGAGTAGGGAAGTACTATCTTTTGAGTTCATTTTCTGTTGCTTCTTGTAACTATTTTAAAAGAAGTGAGTCAGTGGACCACAGAAGGCTCCGCTCAGGCACAGGGAAATGTAATCCAGAGGACTCTTCTTCAGCTCCCCCAAGCAAATGGGAAAGGCAGTTTTGCTTTTGTTTTTCTTTAGACATAATAACAGGCTGATCGTTTGGCGGGTTTGTTTGGCGCTGTCTTGGGCTTTGGCCTTCACCTCAGGGTGCCCACACAAATAGCCTAGGCCTTCCCTCTCATCAGGGAACCAGGAGGGAGCCGGTCCCTGGGGCTGGGTCCTCAGGTGTGGCATGGCTGTACTCCAGGCCCCAGAGCCCCACCTGGCCCAGAGCCTGCTGCATTTTGCTCAGCTCTGGCCCAGCAGGGCTGTGAATGTTCAACACGGTTGCTGAACGCAGAAGCGTCTTCTTCCAATGCACACTCCCTTGGAAAGGCAGCTTCAGCTGAGAGGAAAGACTCCTTGCTGGATGCCATGCACGTGACTCAGGAGCCCAGAATCCCACAGGATTCCAGCACTGGCCACATCTTGTGTGTGTTCTTGGAGAACCACGGTGGGAGCTCTAGGGAAAGGGGTCTTCCGTCTATGTCCAAAATGGGCTGACCACAGGCCACGCTGGACACAGCCCTCAGGAACCATTCCTGTCTTCTACTGAGCCAACTTTCCTGCAGTATGGCCCACAGCTCTGACTTGGAGGGTGAGACTCTGGGACCCAGAGGCCGGCAGTGAGTCACCTTGATGTCTAAGTGTGTGAGGGTGAGACCCCAGGACCCAGAGGCCAACAGTGAGTCATGTTGATGTCAAAGTGTGCTGTGCTTGATTCCATGTTCCTTTTAGCCCACATCCAAGACGAATGGATGTCTGTGACTGGAAAGCAGCAAATACGTTCACAGATAACTCCTGAGCAGAGCTGGGATGATTTATTTTAATCCCCACAATTGGAATAGCTATTTCAAAGGCATGGTTGAAGATACTTCTTCCCAGCCTGTCCTGCAGAGAGATGATGCAATTGTTTAATGAATGATCCCAGTGTCCCGAGGAGGCCAGCAACTGTCCCTTCTCCCGCACAACACCCAAAGTCTTGAATGGATCCCTGGCCCTCCTGGAATAAAGTATGCATAGGGTGGAGAGCTTCTGGGAAGGTTGGATCCGGCCATATCAAATTCCCACAGGAAACTTTCCAAGAACGGCCCCAGGCCAAGGTTTAGCAGCCAGAGGGGAAGCAGTCCATTCAGTCATGCTCTCTGCAGTGCAGTGAGACTGACTGAACATTGGCTGGGGCATTGGTTTCCAACACCCCATCGGTCACCCCCACCACACCTCCCTACCCCCAACACACACAAATACACAAACACACACACACACCACACCCTAGGCCTGTAAGATTTGCTCTAGGCCTGTGAGCTTTGCTCTACTGGTTCAAACAGTCCTCCACTGCTCCAAGTACCAGCATGTTTACGTGACTATCTCACATTCAGAGGCAATAACTTTAGTGGAGCAGAACTGAGCTGGCACATCCGCAGCACAACAGGGAGTGGCCAGAGATGGCCGAGCAGTGTAGCTCCCACCTGACTAGCAAGCACCATGGCCATCCATGTCCAGGGAGGAAAGGGACCTGCCAGCCATGGTGTGAAACAGGCAGTCAGCCGGGACTCCCTTCTAAGGGAAAGGCAGCTCTCCTCAGAAACTCTCCCAAATCCACCCTGGCTCTCAGGAATTCAACAAATATGACAAAAATGAGAAGGGAGAAAATATGAATTATTTTTGCAAGACAGGACTATAAGCATCTGCATATTTAAATTTGGATTCATGTTTTTGAAATAATTTCCTGTTTTGAAGATAACTCAGCAAATGCTTCTTACTTTATTGGAAACAGCATCTATTAAGCTATTTATATAGCACAAATTCACAGGTCATGATACATTACAGTAAAATATCACCAAACAAACCAAAAGGTTATTTTTTTCTATTATTTACCTGCCTTAGTGAAAGCGATGTAAATTGCTCTTATCTGAACCACAATGAATTCACATATTCAAGTTGGCTTCTTGGGAAATTTCAGGCCACAAATGGCAGTGACGTGATCAGGAGCAGCAACACAGTAGGTTCCACCACCCAACCCACAGCAAATTAAATCGATCACAATAAAGCCAAACCAAGAAAATTAAAAGGCAGAATAGCAGCAACTGGAAACTGATCTCTCAAGACCTCATTGATGAGCTTCTGGAAACAAAGCCTGCTTCCCCCATGTTGCAAGGCCTGTCTCGACGGGAGATGTGTGTTGGAGAGTTTGGCTGCGTGGTGTGAGCACCAGATGTCTTAGCAGGACCCCAAAGTTCAATCCTTGGGAAGCCTAGGACTATTTTAAAATATAAGTGTCAAACATTTGGAATCCAACTAACTCAGATTATCAATGTGTAGCCCTCAGTCACATGTAAAAAATGAAAGTCAATATAACCAGTGTAACCTTTCCTCCACAAGAATGACATAGTGACTTACATTTTTAATGAGTTTATGGCCAAGAGGGGCATCTAGTAGTGTGCTGGGGCCAGCTGGTACTTGCTAATGAGAACCAGTTGTTAAATCTTTCAAGAACTTTGCAAGCCAGTTGTTAAACACAGCCATTATCAAAATTAAAAATAGTATAAACTTATAATTAAATAAATTATATTAAACATGAAAGTAATAAAAACTCAAACACTCCAATTCTTAATTATTTTACTATATTTTAAGACACAGTGGCAGCTTGTTAGAGGTCTTGGTGGGAGTATTTACCCCATGGTAATAAGCAAAGGCTAAAACCAAGGGCTTACCCCTCCCCGACCAGGAGCAAGTGGTTGAATACTTACCATCACATTACTGGGAGTTCCCATAGGCGATGACCTGAGCCAACAGTTGTGGCTGTGCAGATAAGCCCTCAAGCAACCTTTTCCCCAATAATGCTAACTTTCTAGAACAGTTCCCATCATATGGGCTTCATATTAATTGGTCAGGGAAATGCTCAGAACCCTCCCACCTGTACATGAGTCTGTCATCTAAAAGACCACCAGGATCACTAAATAGTGAAAAGGAGATCATTATTGGTGATAGCAGTTGGTGAACTGTAAAGAGACGGTCTCTGGCAAGTACCAAGATGCTGTCTCTTCGAAGAGGGGAAGGGTAGTTTGGGTTTTACGGCTCACAAGGCTGGTATCCTATGTATGCAGCAGGTTTGGGGAGATAACTGTACATATTTATGAGGAGAGTCAAGTGCATGCACAGTGGGTAAACATCTATGTCACATACATCCCATGTTCACTTTGGGGCAGGGTTTTAGCATTAAAAGAAGGTAGAATTTGGCTTTTTAAGACAAAAGGTGAACCATAGGACACAAAGACAATTTGTGCACAGCCTCTGTAAGCTGCTGAAAATTGTTTATCAAGAAAGAATGTTGGTAAGGGCATCCTCTGCGCAATCAGAGTTGTAGTGACTGGGTTGTAAATCAGACTTGGGAGGGGTCTGATAGTGCCATTGTTAGGGAATTTGGAGCCATAGGAATATAGACGTTACCCATGCCAGCCAGGCCCTGAACCCTAACCTGTAGGCAACTTTGTTTCCTTAACCTTGGTGTCTGTCTTAGTTGATATAGCAGTGTTTATTTTGATCTTTCAGAATACAAGTCGCAATTTAGGAAGGGTGCTCCATCATCATTTCATGGTTCTCACTATAGCCCAGACAGGCAGGCAAAGCAGTGTTCTTTCCCCTTTAATAAATGAAGAAACTGAGCCTCAAACAGATGAGGGGGCTTCCTGGGTTCACACAGCTCTAAGAGTGGGAACCTAGCTTTCTCAGTGACATTAGCTAGATGTGGTGGGCACTTCTCATTAGAAAAACAAGAATTAAATCAACATGAGGTCAAGAACTGGTGCCCCCTGTTGGAAAAATAAATTGAAACTAATGTTCTGGCAATAGGTGGCAAAAACTTTAAACCTATGGTACCATCTGTCTTGACAATCTTACCTCTAGAAATTGACCCCTTAGTAAATTAAAAGTGTGCCTTTCTTAGCCCGTTTTCATCAGCCATGTTCAACACAGCATTGTGTATGAGAGTGAACTCAGAGGCAACCTAAGTGCCTGAGGTGGAGGTTGGGCTAAGTTGGTTTGGTTGCATCATCCTCACCTGGAAACTTGTTACAGATGCAAATTCCCAGTCCCCACAGCAGGCAGACCTGCTGGTTGGGAAACTCTGCAGTGAGGCCTGGTAATGTGTGTTTCAATCAGCCTTCCCTGGATTGATTCTGGTGCCTGCTAGAGTTTGAGAACTCCTAGGTTAAGTAAATTATGGAACAACTAAACAATGGAATGCAATGTAGTGAATAAAGCACATGGGAAAATCTGTTCACAATATTATGATTAAAAGCATGTACCAAATAAGCCCAGTTATATAAAACCTAGAAGATGCATGCATGTATACATACACACACGTAAAGTCTGACATTTTACATGACAAGCCTTAGAAACATTTCTTTGTACGAAAAAGAGATTCCCATCCTTTTGTTAATATGTTTCTATGATAATTGCGTAAGCAAAGAAGCAATAAATTACTTCTGGGTTTATTTAAAGGTTAAATGAGGCTGGAAAAAAACGTATAGGCCCACAGCAAGATTTTACAAAGCCCCATGACTCCTGGCCACTCTGTCCTAAGATGCTCCACGCCAGTCCCCTGGACAGGTCTCTCAGCCTGGATCCCTTGAATGGACATTAGCCTTTGAGTCCCAGAGCATTCCGTTCACTGGGTGCAGAAAAGGGGCTAGGTTGAGGAGTGGAAACCTGCCTCTGACCACAAGGGGTTAAAACCTAACTGGCTGAGAAGAGGCTCCTGGGAAAGATGTGACATTTGTTTGCAAGGAAACATAAACAATAACAGATGAAGACAGTGACATGTGGCTCAAAGTGAGCCTGATCAAAGCCAGCTGGGCAAGCAAGCTCCAGGCCTGGCTTCAGGATGAGATACCCTAGGAGTGGGCTTGGCTGGAGAGGGTCTGTGGGGGAGGCCAGGGCAGCCTCTCCAGCTATGGGGACTGCCCCAGGGAGTGTGGCCAAGAATTCCAACCCTTTTGGGGAAAGTTGGGTATGACTGAGGCTTCAGACACTTGAGACCTGAATTAGCTGTTCCAGCTGCTGGGAGGGATGGCCCATCCAGAACTGTCTTCTTAGCCCCATGGTTGTAGAACAGAAAACAGTCACATTTACCTACCACCAACCAGGTGCAGAGCACATATGCTTTCAAGAATACATGGATTCCAGCCAGGATGGACATGACTTGCCACAGGCAGGCTAAACCATTCCCTTTCAGTGACTTTCTAAATGGGGTGGTAATTTCATTACATCATCAAGTATGACAGTCCTGAAGCAGATGATTTTTGAACCCCTCTTTCCCATTTTCTGGGTGAATTTGCTCAAAGGTCACAGAGCTGCTGAGTTGTGCAGCAGACGTCGAAGCCAAAGGCCCATGTCCATCTACAGAGTGCAGGCTTTTTCCATCCCAGCAAGCCAGATCCTCATTTGTTCCCACCTGAGCCCTCCCAATGCCTTCTTCTGCCCTCCCCAGCCCAGGACACCTGCCCCAGCCCACAGCTCTTCCAGTCACCACCATCCATCAATTCCTCTAAGCAGCAGAGCCCCATAAAGAACCAGTGTGAGCCCAGACTTGGTATTACCATGTCTCCATCCTGCAAAGGTGAATGCACGTCTACAGTGGTTATTTCAAACTATGCCAGGGAAATGCTAAGCACATATTGTAAATTATCATTAATTGAGGAGATGTTTCCTCTTGGGGGACAGAATGCCTCACTGGTTCTGTAGACAATTGCTGAAGCTTAGAAGTTACAGTACACCCACAAGTTTTCTCAACTGGCCTGGGCCTAAATATGACCTTGCAATGTTCTCCCTCATGGCTTTCAGATGACAGCACAGGCTCCCCACTCAGAATGGAGTAGTGGAAGAGGGGCTCCCTTTGAGCCCCCAGGTGATGTCTGAGAATGTGACCTGCCCCCGCCTGCAGGTTCCAGGTGTCAAAGTCACCTCCTGTCACCACCCTCTGATTTTGTTCTTTTCTTCCTCCCCTTTTTACCATCTCTTCTCTAATGTTGAGTGAGTCATTACCATGCCCATTTAGAAAGTCACTGAAAGAAAGTACATTTAGCTTGCCTAAGATCATCTCATGCCCTTCCTGGCTGGAATCTATCTTTCCTTGAAGGGCTATTGAGGGTTTTAAGTGGCAAAACTTCCCCAAACAATCCCTCTTTGGACATTATTTTCTTTCTACAAAGCTTCACTCCCTTGGAACTTATGGAAACTCTTTTTGAAGGCAGATCCCCTTCCTGCCAAGCAGCTCTTCTGCCCAATTCCTTCCCTAGGAAGTGGTGTCAGTGGTGTTGGGCTTTTTTTTTAAGGAGGAGCGCCCTAGGGTTCAGGGGCATAAAACCCTGCATGTGTTTGTCTACAGCTTTGCTCACTCCTCAGGGCTGAGCCATAGTAGATCCATGACCACCATGGAGAGCTAAGAGTTTCTGGATGCAGTGCCTGCTGTTGCTCCTAGAGATTCCTATCCTGACTGAAGGCTGGTTCCATATCTGTTCACCCAGGTAGTGGGGATAAAAGCCATCTCTAAGCGAGCTATTCCCAAGAAAGAGAAGAGCAATGAATACACCTTGGCTCTCCCCCGCTGACTCTCTCAATACCCACAGACCCCTGAGCCTAACATATGCCTGTGCCTATGGCTGTGGTCGCAGCATCCCCACCTTCACTTCACTCAGACACTGGGCTGGCTTTGATCTCTAATCTTAGCTTGTTTTCACCACCTTGCTACCCTGTTTGCCTTTCTGGTCTCACAGTTCATTCTGTCCATGTTGCTTTCCTATCTGGGGGCTCTCTCAACCAAGTTCACCCATAGAAGCAGCAGAAGCAGCTCTGACCTCTCTGTCTCCAAGACCAGCTTGGCACAATCAGAGCCAAACCTGAGGTGTAAACTCAAAGAGGCCAGAGAGGAATGTGCTTCCGTTCCAATGCCAGTGCTCCAGAAGCCCTGGAGACCAGGCTCCCCAGTAACACTAATGCTCAGACTTCTTTCACACTGGGCATGCCACATGCAAACTGCAGTTTTAGTAGTAAAAATTCTATCTGCCCCTAGAAAAATTCTTATGTCTGTGCCAAAATAATATACACAAGAATTTTTGTTACATGTGTTTTACAGTAACAAAAAACTAGAAATGGCATGCAACAAAAGACTGAGTAAATCACTGGAAATGATTTCAATTAAGAAAAAAATAGCAAAATGTTTAAAAGGCAAAAAGCATTGGTGAGCATGCGGGAAAGCATATTGCTTTAGACTGTTAGCGGGACAGTGAATTGATAGAGATTCAGTGATGAAGATTTAGGCGCTAACTACCTATGGTAATTATCCTAACTAGTTTCCCAATCTCTTTTTTTCGTTTTTTGGGGGTTTTTTTGTTTGTTTGTTTGTTTTTGTTTTTGTTTTTGTTTTTGTTTGAGATGGAGTTTTGCTCTTGTTGCCCAGGCTGGAGTGCAGTGGTGCAATCTCAGCTGACTGCAACCTCTGCCTCCTGGGTTCAAGTGATTCTCCTGCCTCAGCTTCCCAAGTAGCTAGGATTACAGGTGCACACCACCATGCCCAGCTAATTTTGTATTTTTAGTAGAGACAGGGTTTCACCATGTTGGCCAGGCTGGTCTCAAACTCCTGACCTCAGGTCATCTGCCCTCTTCGGCCTCCCAAAGTGCTAGGATTACAGGTGTGAGCCACCACATCCAGGCCCAACTTCTTTTTGAGCAAACATAATCATTTAAATTTGGGAAGAAAATAATGCATTTTATCTGGATGTTCAAATTATTTCTATAAAAATATTTTTTATAGTTGCTTATACTATTTGGATATTTTTAATGGAATAGCAACAAATGTTTACTAAGCACCTACTTTCTGCCCAGCACTGTCCTGACAGTGAAAAAGACAAAATCCTTGTCCTAAAGAAGCTGGCATTACTGTGGAGGATGAAAAAAAATAGATGGATAGAAGCATAAATACGTAACATAATGCCAGTGGCAATAAGTGCCCTCATGATAAATACAGCGTGGTAAGTGAATATACTACTAAAGAAGTGTTCTCAGGGGAGGTCTCCCTGCAGAATGATGTTGGGGAAGAACATTGAGTGGAGAGAGTGATCTGTCATTTGAGAATCTGGAGAAAAAGCTTTCCAGTTAGCAGAAACAGCAAGTGCAAAGACCTGGGCTAGATATGGCATTTTTAAAGTCTAATAATTCCATGTGACTCTTTTATACTTTCCATTTGCCTATTCACCTTTCTGTTAATTTTACCTGAAAAAATATATATATTTATAATAATTGTTTAAGTCCTTGACTGCTAATTTCAGCATCTGGATTATCATGAGTTTACTTCTATTGTCTGTTTTCTCTTGTTAAGAATCATGTTTTCCTGCTTCTTTGATTGCCTGGTATTGTTCCTTTAAACATTGAGGATGATATATTATAGAAACTCTGGATTCTGTTATCTTCCTTTGAAGAGTGTTGATGTTTAGTTGTTCTATGTTTTCTTAGATTCTGTATTTGTCTACTAAGCATCAATTAATTACAGGGCCAAACTAACAGCTACTGTTGTGTATATCTGCCCTGCAGTCCAATTTCCCTATGTGCCTGAAACATCTTATCACTGGTTGGGCACAGTGGCTCATACCTCTAATCCCAGCACTTTGGGAGGCCGAGGCAGGCGGATCACTTGAGGTCTGCCTGGCCAACATGATGAAACCCCCTCTCTACTAAAAATACAAAAATTAGCTGGGAGTGGTGGCATGAACCTGCACGAGAATTGCTTGAACCCTGGGTGCAGCCTGGGTGACAGAGTGAGACTCCATCTCTGAAAAAAAAAAAAAATTTATCCCAAACTTTCTCCTTAATCCTGAGTGTGTACCCCAACCACCTTCTTTACCTAACTCTCACACAAGCCAGTATTTGCCCTGCCCTAAATTACCCAGGGCCAGTCTCTCAGACAACTGGAGACCAGAGCCCAGCAACCTTATCCACACTAGCCAGTACTAAGTTGCTTCCTCTTTGTTGCCTTGCTTTTCCCATGGAAAGCTCAATAAAGGCTCTGGGCCATGCTTTTCTCTAGCTCTTTCTGCCTCTTGACCAACCTGGTGCTTCCTCCCTGTGGTCTCATGGGACATGGTATGTCCCGTTCTCTTAGGAAATATAAGTACTGTAATAAATTATTCCTTCAATGACATGAACTGTCTGTGTGGTCTTTCAGTCACCTTTAAAATTAAAGCCTGGGCACAAATCATTAGTCTGGCAAGTGACATCACTGGTAAGTTACCTTGATTCTAGAGAATCCTGGTTTCAGGCTGTGTTGGCTGGGTCTATTTCAGTTCTGTCTCTGGTCCTAGAGCACAACCACTAGTCTTGGTTTCCATGGGAAGCAAGCTGTGCTTACCAAGTATATTAGGGTTCTCCAGAGAAACAGAACCAACAAGATGTGTGTGTGTGTGTGTGTGTGTGTGTAAAGAGGTTTATTTTAAGGAATTCGCTCACACAATTATGAAGTTGGCAAGTACAACATGCAGTTTGGGCCAGCAGGCTAGAGACCCAGGAAGAGCTGAGGTTGCAGTTCCAACCTGAAGGCCACAGGCTGCAGAAGTCCTTCTGCTCGGGCTTTGCTTTGTCCGTACCTTCAAATAATTAGATGAGTCCCAGCCAAGTTATGGAAGACAATCTGCTTGTTCTATGTTTTCTTAGATTCTGGTGGACTCAAAGTCCACCAACTTAAATGTGAATCTCATTCACAAACACCCTCACAGACACATCCAAAATAATGTTTGACCAAATATCTGGGCACTGTGGCCCAGACTAAGTTGATACATACAATTAAGCGTCACACTAAGTCCTTCTATTAATACTTTGGCAGGATTTAAACTTCAAACTTTGTCTCTCAATGGCAGGACAGCTGCTGAAATCTCTGCTCAGCTCTTTTTAAGCCTTCCAGCTGTTGTTTTCCACTGAGCCCCTTGGCATTTCACTCTGCGCATGCCTAGTTTAGGAGTCAGCCATCAATTTAAGGGGAATTTTGAAGCAGGGTTGGGGTCTTTTCCAAAATCAAAAGTTACTTCCTTTCTGGGGTTGCTCCCCTAAATTCTAGCCACTGTGATGGCTTCAAGCCCCAACCTCTGTCTTCCTAGCACAGTAAGATTGTCACATCCTGCTTCAACTCTCTTGTCCTGTATGCAGTATAAACGGGAATGGGTCCTCAGGAGTTGATCTAAATAAATGTGGAGCTCACGTACTTCTTTTCTTTTAAGGGCCAATTACCAGATCCTTCCTTCGAAGCCAAGGTCTAGTGTCTTTTGGCAGCTCTGGTAAATTGTGTTCTCTCGTCTGATCTGTCCTTTTTTTGCTCTGTCTGCTCCCTCCTCCTAGAACACCTATTAAATGAGCACTAGAAGTCCTGGATCTTCCCTCCGCATCTCACAACTTCCATTTCACAGAATTGCCTATTGTCTTTCTGCAACTCGCTTTGTGAAAGAGAAAACTGATTTCACAAAATCCAGACAACCAAATGACTGAACATGTGAGCACCTTGTTTGTCCCCATAGACTTCCTGACCCTCCTTCTACTCAGCCCCAGCACTGCACACAGCAATGTCCTTACCCATTCCGGCTTGCCACATGATTTCATGCCTCCAGGCATTGGCATGCCAGGTGCCAGACACTCTGCCAGGTGCCAGATGCCCTGTCTGCTTTTCTGACCAACAAACTCCTTTGTGTCTGGACAGAGATGTTGCTCTGCTGGCCACTGTGATTTTCTCTTTTTCCTGGGATCAAACAGCACCCTGTTCACACTTCAAAAGCAGCACTCACTTACCCTGTTTGCCTGTGCTTTCCTCTGTTAAGGCCACATCTATGTCTTCTGTGTTTTTTCCCACAGTGTCTCATACCGTACTTTAGAAGAGGGAACATTTATAGAGCACCTACACATTTTGGACACTACTCCAAGTGTTTTATGTGCAATAACTGTTTGGGAAGTCATAGCAACCCTCTAGGGCCATCATCGTCATTACAAATAAGAAAACAAAGATGAAGTTGAGTCACATGTCAGGGGTCACACACAGTTAGTAAGCAATAGGCCAGGAGGAATTAGACCTTAGCCAGCTGGATTACAGTCCACACTCTTAACTGTGAGAAGGAACGATTCCATCCACGAAGGGGCACACTGACCATCATGGTGGGTTGGTAGAGTGCATGCAGCTGTGTCTACAAAAGCTAGGCTACAAGTGCAGATATAATTTACATGAGTAAAGTATCCGTAGGGTATAACAGGTGCTTGCCGCCATCCTCTGAGAAGGTTTTCTCCTGTTCCATTGTGTCTTATTTTTGTTTTGAGACCGACCGTTTCTTTACGTTCGTCAGTGCCACTTCCATCCAGACAGAAGGACCCCAGGTCAAGGTCTGACAGGAGGAGCAGGAGCCATCAATGAGAGCAGACCTCAGAAGGCTGACGGAGGGGAGAGGAGCACCATCCGCAGCCCCATCCTCTGGATGCTGTGGGAAGAAGTCCACAAAATACTGCCCCTTGGAGTGAGTCGGTAGCAGAGCGCTTGCTGCTGGCTGCAAATACCCCATCAGAACATGTTTGGGGTGATTCTTGGACCTGGTTTCAATTTCTTTTCTGCCAGTCAGCAGTTGTGCTTGACTCACAATTTGTTGCCATCTCCTGAATTAAACTCAGGAAACAGGATAAAGATCAGAACCACATTGTAAAAGCTTCCTTATGGTTCCTTTTTTGCTAAGATAAATAATGAGCAGCTCTGATCCACCTCTCTGGAGAGCTCAGAGCACACTACCAGGAGCTCCTATCCGCAGAGTGAGCACAGGCAACTGGTGATCTCTTGATAAGGAAAGACAGCAGTGTCCAATCTACCCTGCCTTGCACGGAGCCCCAAGTGCTCGCCCAGACTATGTTGCTACCTAAAGCACATGGTAATTGCGTGATGCTAACCAAAGCAGACCCTCACTCATTAGAAACATCTGCTTTGCATTATTTACACAGGAAAAGTTTTCCTCTTTACTGAGCCTACCCAGTTCAAACTTAAGTGGGATTTGCCAGCTATCTGGCTAATTTTATGAGCAATAATAAAGATTGGTGAACACTTGGTGTTTGTATAATTACAATCAATTTTATGTTAAACTTAGCTTAAAAGAAATTTATCTTCATGAGAAAAATAGACAGACTTTAGTGAGGACCAATCTACAAAATGCCTGACCAGAGTTCTTCAAAACTGTCAAGGTCGTCAAAATCAAGGAAAATTTCAGAGATTTTCACAACCAAGAGGAGCCTAAGGCGACGCTGTGACTAAATGTCATGCGGTGGTCTGGATGGGGTCTTAGACCAGAAAAAGGATACTAGATAAAAACAGGAAATGCAAATAATGTATAGATTTTAGTCAATAATAATGTATCAATATTGGCTCATTAAATTGTAACAAATGTGCCATAAATGAAAGATGTTAATAACAGGGGAGGCCAGGTGTGGAGCATTCAAGAACTCTCTCAACTATGCTCTCAACTTTTGGGTGAGTTTAAAACTGTTCTAAAATAAAAACTTTGTTTAAAAATATATAACGAGGCTGGGCACAGTGGCTCATGCCTGTAATCCCAGCACTTTGGGAGGTTGGGACAGGAGGGTTGCTTGAGCACAGGAGTTCGAGACCAGCCTAGGCCACATGATAAAACCCTGTTTCTACAACACATACAAAAATTAGTGGCACACGCCTGTAGTCTCAGTGAGTCAGATGGATGAAGTGGGAGGATCACCTGAGCCTGGGGAGGTCAAGGGTGCAGTGAATTGTGATTGTGAAAAAGAACTCCAGCCAGGTGACAGACTGAGACCCTGTCTCAAAAAAACAAACAAACAAACAAAAACTATACATATACATATGTAAATTAAGAATGAAACAAAAACTTCCATAATCTCACCTTCTTTGAATTTTGGAATTGTGTAAAAGTTGCCTGAAACCGATGAGAAGTAATAGCTCATGTTTACCAAGTGCTGATTACATGTCAGTGTGCTAAGAACTTTACACACGTTACTCATTTAATTCTCACAAAGATCCTATGGAGCAGGTACAACAATTAGCCTATTTTACAGACGTAGAAACTGAGGCATAGCACCATTAAATAATTTATCCAGCTCAGAAAGCAGCATTTTGTTACACAGCTCATGTAGTCTACCACTGCTCTGTACTGCACAGAGCGGAGCCACAAATGAAGAGACAGTCATGAGTCCGTTAAAATTCCAGGACCGTGAACACTGGGACATAGGATATACTGCTAAGGGGGGCTGGGATACTCAAGGCCTGAGTGACTTCTCCGCATCTGTATACACAGCCTGGGAGATGTGCCACTTATTTGTCATCTGATGATAATGTACTTATGAAAAATCATATTCTTTGAAGGATGATTAATTAATTTGACAAATCTGAGATTAAGACAAATGACTTAGAAGGGAAAGAATCAGTCATAGCCTGGACCTGGCCCTGTATGGACTTCCTATCACAGACCACTACCCTTCTGCCTGCATCTTCGGGTCTGCCCATTTCAGCCTTTCTCTGTCTAAGCAGCCAACCTGCACACTCCATCTCAGGGGAAAGGAGCCTCCAAGCTGGCTCTCCCCATCTTCTCTCATAAATCTCAGAGCACGTTCTAGAATAATCGTTGACACATGCTTTTAACCCCGATTTGCAGGTTTGTACACCTGTAGAAAGGTGAGATTCACTCTCTCCAAATGCAGCCCATCCTTGCCTCCCCAGTAGCCTAGGAGACCCAAGACCCAGTTGCAGAGCTCTCTAAGGCCATTGCTCCTCAGGCTCTCCACATCCTAGCAAATGACTCCTGAACCTAGGGTTGTGCTGAACTCCCTCTGCCTCCCTTACAGACTGATCCACCAGCAAGTCTTGGCATCTCTTCCCCTAAGGTCTATCCCAACTCCCACCCCCACCCCCAATTCTCTGCCTCTTTGCTGCCAGCACTCTACCTGGGCTATGCTCACTTCCTGCTTGGACTGCAGCATGGATGCTGCAGGGACTCTAGAGGATGCAGAGGGATGCTGGCATGCCGTGACTCATTTGAAAGTCACAATAGCAGTGGTATTTTTATTTCCAACTGCCTAGCTCATCTGCCTCTCAGCTGTTTCCCAACTTTGATGATGAAAAGGTTGCATCTTCAGGCTCTGTTCAGCTCAGCTTCCCTCTGTCTAAGCAACCCTGCCTGCTTAGAAAGGAGTTTTATTAATTCCTCCAAACCTGCATTTATTTCCTAAAATTGCATGATATGTGTACTTTTAACACACAGAGGAGGACACCCATACATACACATATTTAATTGTTTATGTATTAATTTGTATAGATTCAATGTAAACACACTTAATTTACAGATATATAGACTGATACATATATAGATGATTTTTAATTTGTTGACCTTGCCAGTTAACCCTCTCCCATCTCACCTTCCCCTCCTTCCCATACTGAATCCTGGAGGCCCCAAACCACTGCCACTTCATTAGATCCTGGTTGGCTGCAGCCATCTGTGACCTGCTTCCCTGTGCAGGATGACTCTTCCTCCTGACATCTGAGAACCATTTGTCCCCTTCCATTTGGGTCTGATGTTCTCCATGCTGTGGTGGGCTGTGGTGGGGGAAGCTGTATGTGTCCTGGGGTCCCAGAACTTACAAGGCTGGGAGGATGGGACTTAGCCCAGACTCTGGCCTCTGTTAGCATACTGTCAAACCACAGGGTGAGGCAACCATGCTGGAATGGCCCTGACTCAAGAAGCTACACTGCAAGCCCAATGGCTTGTTAGGACTCCTTTCAGTCACTTCCAAGAGCTACTGCCCATTGGACCCTGTGTCCCCAGGAGTTGCTCTTATGGAGAGGAACTGTCGAGGGGGGCTTCAGAGAGCTTCCAATAGGACTAGAAGGCCATCTAGAAGGAAGATATTGAGCTTGGGTTTGGAGTGTAAGCCAGGGAGACCTCAATGTCAGGGCCTCCTGCCCATTGGCCTCCCAGATGATGTCGGCCTTTATGACCCAAGGAGAGGACGCTGGCCTTCAGCATAATTCTCTCTGTTCTTCACTTGGGAAACTTTGTGTGGGGCTAAAACCAAACCAGAGTGCAGTGGTGGTGGTAGGAAAATATGTCATGAGGTGGGGTCAGGGAGAGAACACCAAGGTTTTGCTGTATGTACAGAAGGTAAAACGATGGCTGAGAGTCCAGGAGCATTCACCTTAGTTCACAAGTGTTTCTGCCATTCGCAAACCAGATGTCTTAATTAAAATGCTGCTAAAGGAAGTAAATCAATTAGCAGATCCCATACAAGATGGTTTATTTTATCTTACACACAGAAAATTGCTTATGAGTATCACGTTACCACTCTTGGTTATCAGTTAACAAAGGCTGCTAATGAACAGTATCGTTATCAGGTTGCATAAGAGACGCCCTGGGAGTCAGGCAAATTATGACAACACAGCACTTTGTTCTGAAATACAGCTCATCTTTCATCACACATGAAGAAGGCAGCCCAGTCCAAAAGATTTCCTGGAAAGTGGAAAAGCAAAGAAAACTCCATGATGTGATCCCAGAAACACAGGGTTAATATTACAAGGGAGAAAATTGCTCATGGGGCCTTAGCCTGATGGCAATTATAGAATGACGTGGCTTTCCTGAGCCTCCACCAGTCATGTCTTTTATGCAACAGCCATGCACATTGTATTAATAACCACAAAATAATTATATAAGGAGAAAAAATAATAACTGACATTCATGGCCCTCTATAAGGCACAGTATCTGCTTTCTTATTTGGTCCTTTGTTGGTTCTGTCCTTTGAAGGTCTGAGAGCAGCAGGCCCATTCCATGAACGCCAAAGCCCTTCCTCCCACACCAGCCCAGGCTGCCATTTACCCTCCAGAAGACCAGTGTTCATCATCGATAGGGCTGGAGACCATCCCGGAGACCCCATGTTTCAGGACTCCCGAATCTTCACAGAGTCCATCTTTAAGAAGGGATCTTCCGGCAGCTAAGAGGTGAAGCTAATCGTTCTACAAAGTATTGCCTAACTGATGAGAAGATGGCAGTGCATAGGAAGCTGTGTGTTGGGTCCGATTCCCCTTTTCATGAGCCATTTTCTGTAGTAGGTTTCACGGACATGGACACCATGCCCTCATGGAAGCATGAACAGCTCCAACACAGGGTGAAGTTTTTGGTGTCCACCTTTTCCTACTGCAGGCTAAAGTGCTCAAGGCTTCCTCTGTGCAGTCTGCTTTTTCCAGAAGAGGCGTGATAGTTTCCTTCAGGACAGAGGCACTGTATAGTCTATTCCTTCTATTATTTACTTCCAATATTCAGTCCATGTGAAAGTTCATTACCAGCCTTGGGTTTTCGAATGCAGAACATCCTGAGACGTTAACCGTGGGCCGCTGTCCACAGAGCTAGAATCCCTCTTCACATCACTGCTCACCTACAGCTCAATCACCTGTGCATCTCTGGAAAGGAAGAGAACCAGCTGGAAGACTTATTGAGAGGGCAACTATGCTCTAATTATTGCATGTGTTCATGCAACTCACACAATTAAACAGGTATAAAAGCTCATCAGCAAAGCCTGCAAGGTGGAACACTTCCTTGTGCAACATAGAAAGGAACCTGAAGGCCAGTGGCTTCTGGGTAAAGGGGAGAGCTCAACCTGGAAGTTGTTTTCTGCCTGCCAAACCCAAGGCAAACAAAACTTCATCTACTTTGACGACAAAAAGAGAAATTATTCCTCGAGGTTAATAGGCATATTTTGGGAAACTTGTCACTTTCTGTAGTTGGTGAATTTGCATAGATCTGGGCAGATGCTACCAGGAACAAGGTAGATAGACCTATGAGAATGGAACTGGAAAATAATTCCTTCACATCTGAACTGCAAGCTGTTACAGAGGGTGAGACTTCTCCATACTTGGTGTACCAGCTTTGATGGAAGGGAAGGACAGCATAGGTGTCTAAAAAGGGGAACATGGAAGTGAAGATGCAAACCAGACTCTGATACAACAGAACTTGGGCTGAAAGTAGGACGCAGACCCTTCTAAGGAACTCACTTATACCTCCATGCCTTAAGACCAAATTCACACCCTCACTGTAGTTTCACATAGACATCTGGAATATAATAGAATGGTATATATGCTTACATTGAATGATGCAAAATTGTTTATGACTTTCCACTGTGCATATTCAGTCACAATCTTCTGACAGCTAAGATCTCCCCGTGAGAGATGGGGCAGCAACAGCAGGAAGGCAGGATAGATGTGGGACAAGCCACATCAAAGGCCATAAAACAGACAGACAAAACAGACAAAAACTTGACTACCCCCTATTTGAGGACCAAGGACACAGGTCATGGTCAGGGATATAGAGCTTGATGGTAGTAGAACCAACATTAAAGACAAGAAAGACACTGGAAACCAGCAAGATATGGTAAGAGGAAGTGGCGAGAAAAGTAAAGGAAGGGATTCCACGCAAGGGCCTCAAAGGCCATCAGGGTTTTCTTTCTCCTTTAAAAGACGGAAGGTCCAGAGGAACATGGGATTTAGAGGACCAGAGGCTGAGCAGAGGGTTCATCCTTCCTACTGTCTTCAACAAGCCCTGCATTTAAAGGCCCCATCAGGTGTTGATAAGGAAGGGATCTAAAGAAGCTGGGGTTAGCCAGGTTTGCACTTGAGATACCAATGCTCAGAGTGGATGGGCAGCCCAAGAGAGCAGCCTCCTCCCGCCCCTGGCTGCCCTGAACAGAAGAAGGGACACTGCTGAGCTACCTCATGGATGAAGTTGCTCTCTGACAGGTAGTGATACCTCTGCAGATGGGTGTGTCACCAGCCACCAGAGAGCCAGGCACAATCTGGAGAAAACAAGGTAAGGCTGGCAGAGTCTGGGGTAGCATCTGCTGGCTGGACTAGTAGGTGAATTAGGCTGCATGGTACTCCAGGCTGGCATCATGAGAAAGAGCAAGAGTGTTGCATACCCTACAATTTAGTGGCTACAGACCCAAATCTTTGACCACATCCTCCAAGAATCACATAGACCAACAAGGAGAGAAGAACAAAAAATACAACAAAAGTGAAACTAATAATGAGGGTGCCTATACATTCTGGTTAGCCCCAGAGTTCATCTGTTTAGGATACATTTATGCCTGCTAATACTGAGAAAAATCTTTAGCAAAATCCAGCACACATTTCTGATTTTTAAAACTCAGTAAAATAGGAACTGATGAATGCTCCTCAACATGATAAGATATGTGTGCTTCAGCCCTAGAGCCAGCATCTTACTTGATGGACACCACTAGTGGATTTCCCATCAAAGTCTGTCAGAGGCATGTTGTATGCACAATTTTCCCACTATTATTTAACATTGGTGTTCTTAGTCAATGCAATCGGAGAGGAGAAAACAATTAGAGGCATAGCAATTGGGAAAGAAGAACTATATTTTGGCAGATGACATAATATGGCAAAAACTCAAGTGACAGAGGAGAAAACAGAGAAAAATAATAAAATAATTCAACAATCATTCTCACCCTCTTTAACAGCTTGTAGTTCAGATGTGAAGGCATTATTTTCCAGTTCCATTCTCATAGGTCTATCTACCTTGTTCCTTTTAGCATCTGCCCAGATCTGTACAGATCTGTGCAAATTCACCAACTACAGAAAGTGACAAGTTTCCCAAAATATGCCTACTAACCTCAAGGAATGACTTCTCTTTTTATCATCAAAGTGGATGAAGTTTTGTTTGCCTTGGATTTGGCAGGCAACAAGGCAACCCCTATAATGTTAACATAATGCCCCAAAATCAAAATGCAATCAAAGACCTGGTAGGCAACATCATGACAAAAACTCTATTTTGAAAGCAGCAAAGGCAAAATACTTATGAATAAATATAACAAAATATATGACAATCTTATAAGAGTAAAATCTGAAAACTCTCCTGAAACACACAAAACGGTAACACACAAAATCAGATAACTTTTTATGAAAAAAATTACCTCTTTTCCGTGGAGAACCACTTAACATCGTAAAGAAGTAAATCGTTGTTAACTCAATATGTAAATGTAATGCAATCCCAATCTAAATACCAAGATGTTTGCTTCTTTTTTTCTGTGTGTTATTTTTACTTTATTTGCTTTGGTCTATACAAAAACCCGGTAGCCAAAAACACAAAGCAATCGTCATAAAACTCTCCACTGGGACCTCCCCCAGCCCCCACACCATGAAAGATTTCTGTTTCTGTGGAAAGATTCTGAAGTTGATTCCGAAGTTCATACGGAAAAATAAATATGCAAGAATAGCTGGAATAAACTGGCAAGAATGTCCCCTGCAAAGGAAGCATAATGTGTGCGGGTGGAGGGAACCAGCCCCGTCAGAAGGTAGAGCACATCCGGAAGCCTCTCTAGGCTCAGCCTCTCTAGGAAGCCCTCAGCACATGAATAACCACAAATGCCAATGGAGAATAAAGTCTAGAAATACCCTAGTACATACAGAAATTTAGAACATTATAAAAGTGGCAAATGAAACACGGGTGAAATAGGGTGGTTTTAAAAAATAGTATTGGAATAAATCAAGTGCCATTTGGGAAAAAAACAAAATTGGATCTGTAACTCACACCACCCACCAGAATAAATGCCAAATGGATCAGACATCTGAGTAAGTAATAAAACCATCCAAGTGCTGGAAAAAGTATATATGCCCAGCTGTATACATCTATATGTAAACATTTTCTAATTTTATTTTTAAAAATGTGTGTCTATATAAAAGTGTTTTTAATTAAATATATTTTTGTAACAGTATCACAGAAAGAATAAACCAGGAATTATTGAAAATGGCAACTTCAAAGCAGTAGGTAGGAACACGGTGGAGTGAAGTTACAAAAGAAACACTTCTCCGAGTTTATCTGTTTATATAGTTTATCTCTGAATCGTGTACATGACACACATGTATCTCTGTTTACAAAACTATGTAAATTAAAATTTTAAAAGATTAAAACAGGAAATAGTAAAATAGAATACACACTAAAACAAATGTTTCTGACTCTCTATCCAATTGATAACATAACCACACAGAGAATATAATTAATTTCATTTGAACACAATACTCTGGCTGTACATACCTAGAGGGCTAAAGCCACTGCAAAGAAATGTGCAAGTTTACAGAGCAGGTCTACCGCTGTATAGTGCTCTAATTTCTGGAGGTATTTTGTGTGTATTATAGAATAGAGAAAATGAGTAAAAATATTATGTGGTTGAAAAGCAGGGTTTTTACTTTGGAGAAGGCAATCTAGACATATAGAATAGGGAAAGCTTAGAAAAAATTTTATGATACTGAGTTTGTAATTTAAATGCACATTTCCTGACTCTGTCCATTGAAAGGGCGTAGAATCAATGACACCTCAGTAGCCCTGAGCACACATTGTGCCCATATCTTAGTTTCTAAAAATCATTCCATAGTAAAAATTAAAATAAAATAAAATAAAAGAGAGAGAGACAGACACACACACACACAGAGAGAGAGAGAGAGAGAGAGAGAGAGAGAGAGAGAGAGAGATTGAGAAACAGGGACCCTTGAGAAAATTAGACCCTTGTGCTACCCTTGGGAACAAGACAAGGTGAGCCTCAGATGTTGTGTTGTCAGAAGTCTAGCATGTGCTCAAAGACTAATGAGGTTCTGTCTGAAGGACACAGGGGCCCCCAAGAAGTGACTTGCACGAGCCAAATTTGCAACAATTTGGGCATCAGAAAGAATCATGATGGTAATGGATTAAAATGCATTGAAGTCCACAGTAATAATCCTCAACAAAAGAAGAAGGAGAAAGGGGAGATAGAATAAAAAGGCTTTCATCTAGATGAATGTCAGCTATTAAATACAGAAGAAATGCTGGAATCAGAAAGTCAATATTTTGTAATCACCAATGGCAATAATTGCTTCAAGCAGGATCATGAATAGACTAAAATCATTAGGTGAGGAATTGTTGGGGGTCGGGATATTCACATAGTGTCAAAGTGCCTCCCTTTGTATTATTCATTCATTTCAGAGGGGAAAATTCTAATTTCCACAAATATAGAAATCTAGTGGTCACTCCCTTAACCAAGCAAACAAAGCATCACCAACAGTGATGCAATACAACGAAATGTACACAACATCACCTTGTGGTATTTCCGACCAAAAACTTCAATCTGAATCCACTCAGGAGAAAACAATCAGACAAATCCAGAAAATGGGACATTGTGTAAGACAACGGGGTTTAGGGACTTCTCAATCAACAATGTCATAAAGATAAAAAGCAGAGGGGCTGCTCAACACTGAAAGAGACTTTAAAAAAGATAAAATAAATACAAATATTTTTTCTGGATTGGAAAATAGCACAAAAAAAAAATAGAGCAATAAAAGATACTTCTGAAATAACCAGAGAAATTTAAATATGGACTATATAATAGATGATATTAAATTAGCATTAATTTTCTTAGGAGTGGTCATTGTATTGTGATTATACACAATAGGAGACACAATGGTGCTGTATTCAGGGGTGAAATATCATGGTATCTATACTAATTTGCAAGTAGATCAGTCAAAAATGCTTATGTTCACAGAGATAAAGCAAAGGGGGCACCATGTCAATGAGTGACCCTAGGTGAACGGTGTATATATTTTGATTGTCCCATTCTTTCAACTTTTCTTTGGATTTGAAATTTTTTCATAAAGCAGGAGAGTGAGAGAAAGATCAAGAGATCGCCCCAGGACTGTGTGACCATCCTGGGCTGGTCAGACAGGGAGCAAATTCTCAGTGGGTTTGGCACATGCACGGGGCATGAAGTGAGGAAAAAGCTGGGGAAGGTGGATTGTGAAATAATGATTCTCAAAACCCTGGTGAAGATGCCTTCATTCCTAGGAGTCTTCATTCATAGGCTCATTCAATCAGGGGTCCAAGATCCTGTCCCCTTCTGCAGACTGGCCCTCCACATACGGGCTTCGTCCACTCCGAGACCCCAAAGCAGCACTGAGATGCAAATACCCAGCCAAACTGATAGCATGATGACACGAAGAGATGTTTGGGAATTTTTTTCACCAAATGGACTAAACTGACTAATTATTAGATTGGACACTATCATAGGATAGGTCTTGGAGAATGAAAAACAGCTTACCTATCCTGTTAAAACTCTGTTTTCTCAGCTCTAACTGGGCAAATGCCCCACAGCTTCATTTTAAATCTTGCCAAGTACCAGCATGTCCCAAGGTGATGCTGATTCCTGGTCTCACAGCTGTTCTGGCATGAGGGCTCCTGGCCATGGCCATCATTGCCCGTCCCGCATGGCCAGGGTGAGGGAGAGGGCTTGCCGAAAACCCATGCAGCCCCACAGGGCAGAGACTGCCTGTCCTCATTTTAAGACAAGTGATCACTCTTACAACTCACCTTTCGGAGAAATTGTGGTTTCGCCTGCAAAAGAAAATAAAAGTATGTTTATTGCCTAAGCCTTGGACGACAGAAAGACAGTGCAAAGCTTGCTGCAGGAGAGTGGCTTGCTTGTCATTAGCTTGCTCTTTTGGGTCTGACTTCCTCATGACTCAGCCTGACTCCACCTAGTGTTAGTTTTGGAAACTCGAATCCTGCTTCTTTCTGAAAGTCCCTCTATTTGCAGAGGAGCTCTGTTATGATACCTGCCAAGAACAGCTCCCTGCACGTGGTGAGGGCAATGTATTATCAGGGGCATGAACTCCCATCCAGCCATTGCTTCCCAGCCCTGCTGTCTCCTGGCCTTTATTTCTTGCCTCCCTCACCCACCTGCTTCCTCTAGCATCCCTTCATGTTTTTGCATGAACTTTGCTTTCAAAAAGTTCATTGTTGAATAACTATTGGAGCCATCTTTCCTGGATTATGAAAAATGCCTTCTATAGCCCTGATGGCTCAAAATAACCCAGAACTTCCAAAAAACACATATAACAGAGATGATCTTCTTAGATGATCATGCAAAAGAACATAAAAAGCACAGTAACTGCTCATTCAGCAGTGTTTTCAAATGGGTCTGTGTTGTATTGCTCACAGCAGCATCTTCCCACACAGACGTACGTGTGTCAGAGTCCATCATGAATGACTACACGCACATAGACACACATATACACAGGCACTACATGCACACACACACATATGCGTGCACACACATGCAACAGGATTAAGGATCAGGTTTTGTGGAATTTCATTTTATGTCAAGTCCACGGCTAAGATGTCCCTGAAGTATGGTCTGCTTCAAGGTCTGGCGATTTGCAAAGCAAAGTGCCTTAACTCAAAGTCCCCGTCAATGTGTGCCAGGAGTTCGGATGGTCAAGGTAGCATCCCTGTGCTGGGTGGAGCTCCAGCACTTTAGAGCCCTCCTTGTAGTGAGAAGGTCACTGGGCTAGAATCTCCACACGTTTCAATATTCCTAACCACAGGGCCTGAGCTGGCCACAGCAGCCTGTGTCCTCCGCCTGGGTACCTAAGCACCCAACAGAGGGCCCCTGAGGCTATGTGGTGCCAGAGTCTTCGCCATGGCCAACACAGCCCATCCATTCAAAAGAGACTCCTCCTGCACTCCTCACCACAGAGGCTACCTGGACCCACAAAGGCAACAAAGGTTCTAGGGATTCAATCCTTCTTGCCCTTCCAGACTCAATCCAGCCTCCTCATGTCCTCCAAGAGCCCTGTGCGAAAACTCTTATTATGGCCAGTCCACCCTGATTCCACGGTGGGAGAGGCTGACTCAGCGCCCAACCCACAGTCATCCGAGTGCTGCCCTTGGGTCAGTGGGGACTGGGACACCCTCCTGGCCAGGTGCTACAGCTGCACGCTCAGGAGAACCTGTGATTGTGCCAACCCCCTTAGGGCTAGAAGAACACAGAGCTGCCCCAGTGTGAAAGCCTCTTAGGGTGAAGGGAAGGGAGGGGTGTGAAGAGGTGGCCAGCACGGAACTCCACTCTCCCGCATCAGTGGATTTGGGGGCACTGGGAGCTGTTCGGCATGTTTCTTCTATAAAAAGGAATGTGACAAGTTCAGCTAATGTGGGTCTGGGTGTGTGTGAATGTGTGTGTGTGTGTGTGTGTGTGAGAGAGAGAGAGAGAGAGACAGAGAGAGAGAGAGAGAGAGAGAGAGAGAGAGAGAAATGGGACACATGGCATCTCTGGTCCCTCAACCTGAAATATCTCCAATTCCACCACACATTTCCAAAACCCCCTCAAGCTGGTTACATGCCCTGCGTGCACAGAATGTGACATGGCCAGCAAGAGGAGTGCTGTGTGGCCACCAGGGCCTGGAGACTTCACAGGCCCACTCAACCTAAGTTGACCACACATCCGCTTCCCTAGGACAGTCCAGGCTCACACCCATCATCCTGGTGTAACTTTTACAGAGTCTCTTCTCACTCTCACAAAGTCCTGTCTTGGATGACAAGTTATATCCCCTGTTTTCTCCAGCCCAGGACCCAGTGGACTGACACAAACTTGGGGTGGGAGGGATGACCTGGGAGGGGACAGAGAGAAGGAGAGTAAGAGTCAGAAACAGAAGGAGAGATGGAATGCTGGGAGACAGAGTTGATGAAACGTGCTTTAACGCTTCGCAATCAGAAACCACTGCTGAAAACTAGAATATCTGAGGGAGGAGAAATCCTCACACACACACACACAAAATGAACTTCTCAAGACAATCCATGTCCAGCTCATCCCAAGGGCATGACTCCATGAGGGCTGATGAGTGATGACCTGCAGCCACAGTGCACCATGCGTTCATCCCTCATGCAGTCATTAATCCATCTGCTCCTTCAATAGACACTGCTTGGAAGTTACCCAGTCCCAGGTCCCATGGAAGAACTGGAGGGTGAGACTGGGCTCTGGGTACTTTCTAAAAGCCATTATCCCTGTGTCAGCCCAGGCCTCTGTCCTAAATGCCAGCCACTTACTAGACATCTCCTCTACGTGGAAGTGTCCAGAAACCTTCGGTTCACCATGTTAAAAAAAAATATCATCTCAACCAGCTCACTGCCCAAAGCTGCTCCCCACCAACTTCCCAAAGGGCACCAGCTCAGAGAAAACTCTGAGCTGTTCTAGATTCTTTTCTCTCCTCCAGTGGCTGTCTCAGCCCTTCATCCCAGGTCCCTGGGCCAGCTCCTCCTTAACTTTGTTCCCATCTTTTATTTTCTCCATTGCCTCCACCCGGACTTACTCCAGCAGGGCCTTGCACCAGGCCTGTGTCTTTGTCCGGGCTCCAGCACATCTTCCTGGCTGCAGCTGGGCCCTCCTCCATGCTACCAGATAACAAAAAAATATTCTATCCCTCCCCTGCTTAGAATCCATCAGTAGGTGACCAGAAGTTTCAGGATAGATTTCAGACTCCATTGCTTAGCACCAGTTCCTCTGACTGTACATGCGTAGAAACTACTTATCTCTCCAGCCCTTCCTTCCACATCATCACATGAAACACTTACTTCTGACACATGGCATGTTTGTCAGCTGCAGGTTTTACCCATGATGCTTACATACGCTAGGGTTCCCTCTGCCTTCTTGAGCTTCTCTTAGTCCTTCCGCATGTAGCCTGAGGCTCCCCTGCACCTCCTAGTGGCTATGCAGCCCTCTGCACCCCCAAGACACAAGGCAACACGCACATAGCCTGCCATAGCCCTCCCGGGACTCCCACCCTCACTGTGCAGCCACCACCTGAGACCTGCCTGTCTCCCCTGTAGACTGAAGGAGATTGTTCTACTTCTCTCTCCTTGACCCCCAGCACCTAGTCCATGGCCTCATGTTCATTTATTTATTCATTCATTCAACACATATGCAAGTATCCACTTTGTCCCTGGCACTGTGCTAAGTGCTGGGCTACAGAAGTGAAAAGGAAGACCCTACCTGTCCGGAGCTTACATTTTAGAAAGAAACCCATACAAAATAGACAAATCAATATATCATATAGCATCAACTAGTGCAGAGAATTATAAAGAAAACTGAAGCCAAGCAAAGAGAAGAGAATGGTGGCTGGAGTCGAGAGGGGACTGTACTTTAAATAGGCCCTCTATGATGTAGTGGTGACACTGAAGCAGGGATTTGAATGAAAAGAGGGGTGAGGCTTGCAGCTTTCCAGCAAAGAGCATTCCAATGACAGAAAACAGCAAATACAAAGGTCCTGAGGCAGGACCGTCCCTGAGGACATGGGCTCTGCGCAGAAGAGCAGGGTACCTTGATGCCAGCAGAGAAGCCTGGAAACCTGGGACAAACCACATGTGACCTTCCAAGTGACAGGGGCTGGAGGCCTCATTCTGAGTGTCAGAGGTATGCACTGAAGGGGTCTGAGTGGAGGTGGAACAGGATCTAATCCAGGCTGTGCAGAGGCGAGCCCTAGTTCCTTTGACGACTGTATCCTGTGGCCCTCACTCCTGTGACACCTGCCCACTCGTCCAGAGGAGGAGAGAGTGTAAGGAGGGGGCCATGAGGTGCATTCTAGTCACCTAGAAAGCATGCCAGAACGCAGAGAAGGCTGGGGATGACAGGCAAGGGAGTGGCATGGCCAAGACAGGAGAGAACACGGTACCCCTCCCTGACTATGTGGGCAGTGACCTTACCTTGGGGCTCTCTTCTTTAGCGGGATGGTGTCTAAACAGAGAAAGCCGGGCATTAGGAAGGGGGTCCTGTGACAAGAGGTGCAGAGCGTTCCCTGGAACTTTCACCTCCCTCTCCTGGGTCCTCTCATTCATGATGCCCTCGAGAGATCCGGGGCCTGGCTGCCATGTGATGAAGAGGCTGTTTCCTCCCCTTATTTGTGGGGATACACAAGGATAAGCAAACTCAGGGATAAGCAAACTCCCATGGCCTATTAAGCCCCTCAGGTGATGCACACGCCAGCATCTTGGGAAGCCTCCTCCTCTCCTGGCCCAGACCAGCCCCTTCTCCTTATCTTCACAGATCATAATCACATCTTCCAGAAAGACAGTGAGGCTCTGTTCTCCCCAGAAGCACCCCGTGGAAAACTGCACCATCATTGTACTGAGCTATCTAATACAACAGAGGATGAGTTTGGGGGTGATACCCTGAGAGAAGGGATGCAAATCAACACTGCATTTTGGGTGCCAAGGAGGCGGAGGACTGTGCCATGGTGCACATCAGCCAGCTCAGTTTCTATCTGAGGGGCTACTCAGTACTGTTTTGAGAAGGACTTTCCCAATTTATGAAAAAAAATGCATCTTGACCCACACAGTCAACAGAACCTCCCACCATCCACCCACACTTACGACCAACCTCACTGCCTCCTGGCACTGGGTTTATTTGATCTCATCATTTGGATGAGAGAACAGAAATTTCTGTGTGAAGCCAATTTTAGTTCCTCTCCCATCTTTCTCCAGGAAATGTGATTCTCAGGACTGCCAAGAGCAATGGAAAGGAAAGGTACAGAGGGAAAGAGTCACAGAAAGACAAAGAGATGGAAAGAGAAACAGAAAAAGGAACACAAATAGACAGAGAGAGAGAGACAGAAGAAAGAGAAACAGAGGCAAAGACATAGTAAGAGAGACAGAAACATGGAGAGGTCATTGCCTTCCTTTACAGCCTGTTGGGCTCTGCGCTTGTGGGTTCGTTCTTGCTGTAGCCAGCATCACAGAGTGGCCCTCGGTGCCTGGCTTCATCGGGCAGAGCCAGGCCTGAGCACCGCATCCCTCACCATTGAGGCCTCCAGGTGCGCTTTTCAGGTCGGAAGAGTCGTCATCAAATAAGTGCCTCCTGATCATGCAGATCTTCAGGGCCAGGAAGCTGGCAGATACAGCAATGCCCACAGCAGTCCCGATGAGGGCGTACTTGAAATCTGAAACTCAGGAAGGAATTGAACACCGGGTTTCAGTCACCTGCAGCTCCCTCTACATTCCAGATGAGGTCCAAAGCATGCATGTGGCCCTTAACACGCCATCTCCCACTGGCTGAGGCCAGCCTCACCTTCCACTCTCTCCGGAGTCACTTTGCTCCCAGCCTCTGCTTGCACCCCATCCCCTCCTTCAGAAGCACCATCCCTGGTTCCTTCAGCTGTGGAAATTGTTCCCACCTTTCAACGCTCCCTGAAGCTCACCTGGCTACCTGCCCCAAATGGTGAGTTGCTCATTTCTCTGGCCGCCTGAGCCTCCTAGCCCTTCCTCACCAATCCCTTCGTTAATTCATCCACTAATCTATTGGGTGTGTGTTAATTGCCTGCTCTATGGTGAGCAATGCAGGAGAATGGATAAAGCCTATCTGGCCTTTGAGGAGCCTGCAGTCAGCTGGGGAGGGCAGGGAAGGAGCTCATGACGGGAGAGGCTGGGTTGGCTTGGAATCATGGGCATCCAGAGCCTTCTCAGAGGGTGAGGCATGCAGACTGAGCCTGGCCAGCATATGAGGCCCTTAAGGGGCAGAGAGGCTGGAAGCTCGCAGGTGGAGGGAGGCACCGATGAGGGCTGTGAGCCTGGCAGAGCATGCTGTCAGGGCCCATGGTTGCAGGATAGGGCTCTGTGGGTGCTGGAGTCACGCATCTCTGGCCCTGAGGTATCATGCTTCCTGTGTGGATGAGCTTTAATGCAAGGCGTTGCCCCCAAAATAAAGCTGTCAGTCACTCAGGAGGGCCTGGAGGTGAGGTGCCCCTTTTCCTATGCTGACAGCAGGGAACCAATTCCAGCACTGCAGCCCTCTGCTTGTGTGTTGTGGGAGTCTCCTTCCTGCCCCTGACCCTGTGCACAGAATAACATGGGCAGCCACCTACCGATTTCAGCCCCAGGGGGCTTGCCTGTTGCCAGCACTTGAGCTCCTCCTACATCTGCAAAGAAAGAAACCCCAGAGCCTGGTTAGAACAGAGCTGGCTGTGGCCCTAGCCACCCAGTCTCAGAGGCCTGGGAAAGCCTGCCTCAGGTACCCTAGGAGCACAGAGGTGGGCTCCCAATTGCCATGGAGCATCTTGGAACCTTGCTGAGACATCAGAGCTCCTTCAAAACTCAGACCAGGAACGCGTCTCCACCCGATGCAGTTCAGTCAGCTGTTCAGCAGTTTCCAAGACCTGCACTCTGACCCAAGCTTGCTCCACAGGCTTCCCTGTGGCTCCCAAGGCCCTCCTTAATCCAGCAGGGCTTTGGTGCTTCTAGTTCCCCACACAGCCGGGGCATCTCCTGCCTTGGAGCCACACACTCTGCCTGGCCCCATCTTCTTTCCCTCCTTCTTTACCTGATGTTGGCTCCATGCCACTTCCTCCCTGACTCCCCAGACCTGAGTGAGCTGACCCCAGTGTGCTCCACAGCTGTGGTGCTTGCCCGCCATAACTGACCATGTCGATATGTAGCAACATTTACATGGCACTAGTGTGCGCCAGGCACCATCCTAAAAGCTTCTCACATATTAACACATCAATGCGTCTTCTGGCTGGTCTCACCCTGGACTGCATGGTACAGTGTCCAGCATTTGATGCAGTGCTTGGCCCACGGGAGGCATTAATAGACGTTGGTGGAAGGAAGGAAGGAAGGAAGGAAAAAAAAGGAAGAAAAGAAGGAAAGAGAGCATGCTGTAAGGGTCCCTCACTCTTCTAGCCAAGCCTTGAAACCTTAAGACAGGAGACACTGCTCACAAACAGGGCTGTAGAAGAGCGATCCAGATGTGAGGTCCTTGGAGAGAAATGTGCACATTTATTGGCCACTTACTTTGAGACAGATATTTAATACTCACAGCAACAACTCTGTGAGATAAATACTGTTATTATTGCCATTCACAAAATGAGGAATGGGAGGCATCGTGGTCTTGCTAATGTACCCAAGTGCCAAGAGAAGTGGGAAATGGCAGGTCTGCACTGAGAGCCCAGGGAGGCCTGCAGACGCGAACATGAATCCAAGGAACAGACACAACACCACCAAAACCATCAAGCCGCGGGGCTGCATGGACTTGGGCTGGGGACGGGCAAATGGTGAGATCCAAGCCTGAGTCTCACTTTCAAACTTCCAGGAAAAAGCAGGAGAGAGTGCTACCACTCCTGTTCCTCACAAAGGGAAGCCGGTGACTTCACTGGAAAAGACCAGATGGTATGATGGAGGAAGCATCATAGCAAAGACATCCTCCACCCAACCCTGTCTGCTGACCACATTCAGTGATGCCCAGAGTGGCATGGTAGGTTGGAGTTCCGCAAGGGACAGCTTTGCTCTGTGTGTGTTTGGTGGAGAGAGGGATTGTCCTACTAGAGTTCAGAATTTTTTCTGGCAGCCTAACTTTGTAGACTGATAAAGTTTCCCCAAGTTTTTTCTAAAGTAAAATTTCCCAGCTTTGTTCTAATCACAGATATTTTTGGAAATTCAATGACCTCTTCTCTCTTTCCCACAGATCACAAGCCCCATGTGAGCACATCTGCTCACACACACAGACACCATCGCACACAATATGACCCTGATTTTGTCTGTTCTCTGAAGCCCCAATCAGCTTCATTCCATTGTCTTATCATTTCTTTAAATCAGTCCTGCTGCTCCAGCTAGGTTGAACATCATTCCGGACATGGGGCAAAGGTTTATATTCAATGGAAGGCAGCGGGTGGGATCGCATTTCCAGATTAATGCTCCCAATCCAGAGCTGTGTGTGCTACGTCCTCACCCTTTCGTGGGACGGGATCCTTTCTGACACCTCTGATCTCTCTCTGCTGGGCAGAAGGCAGGAGGACAGCAGAGGGCAGGGCCTCAGTGGGTGGGGCCAGGCCCCTGAGCCCCAGCCTCACCCCACACCCTCCCCCTGCCATGCTAGCATGTTGCTTGATTCCCCCTCCGGTCCTCCCTTGTTAGGCATTGCTCTCATCTGCAGCATTGGCATGGAAAATTTATGCTAGCCTGAGATGAAATCCGAGCAGAGAGGAAGGAAGGACACAGGTTAGAAAGGGCGAGAAATACAGAGAGGTACACACAGAGATGCTCAAGAGACACACTCAGGCTGTGCTTGAGTCACTCAGACCATCAACGGGAGGGAAGAGAAAGGAAGAGGAGAAAACCCTAACGTCAAAAGGCCCCAATCCTGGCCTTGGTCTCCGCAGCAGCATCACAGTTTCCATTCTCGCCAGGCTATCCCGCATCCTTCCTCATCGGCTTCACTCCCCAAATGTGTTACCCTGAAACCTCGGCTCCTTCTGCCCCTTTCTGTGGCTGGGACCCCTGGCTGAGCCTCAGCTCAGCCCCCAACAGAGGCCAGTCCCTTAGACACCATCCTCTATGTCTCATCCTGTGTCCCCTCCAAGCTGTGAGGCTTCCCCTAATCCCTGACCCCAAAGAGGCTCTCCTCCCTGGGGACTGAGTGATTCATTTTGGGACTGAGTGAATTCCCACCACCACCCCAACTCCACCACTACCTTGAGTCACTTGCGGGGAGACCGACGTGGGCGGAGAACCCAGCTGTGCACTCAAAACAGCCAAAGGCCCAGCCCTTCCTGCGAGCCAGCCCCTCGGCCACTCGGCGGCAGCCTTTCCCCTCCTCAGGGAGGGAAATCCCTCCATGCAGCCCTCCTGTGCTTGGAGCTGTGACTCCACACACTCATGAGCCCTTGGGTTAGGGTGCATGCTCAGGACAGCAGCCTAGCCGGCCCTGCCCCTGCTTCCTGCTAGGGTCATGAGCTGGGGAGGGCCCCCTGGGCCGTAGACCCACTGCAAGCCTCCAGCACTGGCTGATGTCCCCGGGCTCTGCAAAGTAGCTGGAGGATGGCTGGCCCTAGCAGGCCTGCTTGGATATCACAGCCAGAGGTCTCTGGAGTGCCTTGGCTACATTTAGATCTGTGGGAGACCCCAGAAGGAAGCCCACAAGGACCAGCAGGAGCTGCACTACACTTTCTCTGCAGGAATTCTCCGGGATCTCATGCAAGGAGGGGGAAGCTTGGCACGCACAGGAGAGTCACACGGGGCTGAGGTGGGGCTGTGTGGGGCAGGCCCCCTTCCAACCTGTAGATTTGCTGAGGCCATAATAGGCAAAGTTCTGGCCAAATCTGGCTTGACCCCCTCTGACTGCTACTACCAACTGCACGAGTCTGGCTGGCTGCCTCCCTTGAACTGTCCACACTGTGTAGGGTCAGAGAGCCAGAACACAGCCCTTGCTGCTGCCTAAAGCAGAGAGCAGAAGGCAGAGGGCTACCTCCAGAGGGCTTGCTGAGATGTAGGGGCTTTCCACAGCCTCCACCTGTGTAGCTTCCATGTGTGGTCAGATCAGCCACTGACCATAGGAGCTTTTCCTAATTTGCACAAGGCCACTCTAAGGGCTCTAGATTCTAGAGTTTCTGCTTTCTCCCTGGTGCCCCATGTGGACCTGGTACTCTGTGCCTCCCTGACAAAATAGTGGGCTCCAGCCCCCTCACAGCTGCTATTCCCATCTCAGGCCTGCATCACACAGATTGCTCTGTAAGTGGCTCTCCCAACAGCAAGGAGCCCTCTGCAAGAGTGGATGGCCCTCTGTCTTATGGACCCCCAGAAACAGTTCCTGGGGAGGAAGATGGCAGGGCTGCTCTACACAAGCTGAGATGAGCTATTTTGGAGAGTGCTGAAGGCACGGCCTAGCTTTGCCCCATCTCACTTGGAATCTGACCTGCTGAGAGCCCATCCCCAGCATCCAGGCCTCTCTGAGCTGTCCACCTGTTGGGTCCACCCTCGATGGGGGACTGGCACTCTTTGCCACCCTTATTTGGGCAGAATCGGGCTGTGGGATTCCCAGTTGTGGGCCAGTAGGCGTGCGTGCACTCAGATGTCGTTCTATAAGTATTTGAACTAAAAATAGGGAGAGGCTGCCCTAAGTATTTGTCAATGATGCCTGCCCATAGTCATCTTGGGACTTAAATGTTGCTGAATGGCTCCTAACTTTAGAGCTCATGAATTCCAACATTCTCAGCTAGAGGAAGTGGCTTCAAATGTCTAGGATAGGCTTCCTTAGTCTCTTAACAGGGCTCACACATATAAATAAAGAGCCTGCAGGGTGTTCCCTAGGGCCCCAGGGCCTGGGAGAAATCAAAGAGCAACCAAAGACCTAAGTCCCCCATGAAGGAGCTCACAGAGTGACCAGGGAGACAAGATTTACACTGAAGAAAAGATCAGAGTGTCACAGGCAAAGCTCAGCACCTTCCCCAAGCCTCAGTCTCACAAGCTGGAGGAAGTGGGAACAGAGTGCAGGGTGGACACTGGTACATGGCCTGCCTTCCTCCCCTGACTAGCACCTCGGTTTTCCTCTGAGCAACCAGAGGCCCCACAACCAGAACTCCAGCCAACCCTATTCACTGGGGAAAGGGCTTGCTCCACCTTTGAGCCTCTCTGTGGGGATCTGAAACTTCACTATGACCCCATGATGGGTAGGAGGGAAGGATATTTGGAACCAGGAGATCTGAGTCCCCATTCTGCCACCCATTGCTCAGTCAGTGGCCTTGGACCAGACACAACACAGCGCCCAGCTCAGTGGCCCCATTGCACACAAAGCATGGCTGGACAAGTCCTCGGAAGGAGTGTGTACACAGAGTGAGGTGCAAGCAACAGCTGTCCTTCCACAAACAAGCATGCCACCACCTGAGATGGGCATCTGCCACTTTCCTAGGGGCCGTGGTCAAAGTGGGGAGCCAAGCACACTGGGAGGCACTCCACGTGACTCCCATAGGACGGGCTCCAGGGGAATGTGTGAACCCTGCCTGACCAATTAGCATATTTCTTCTTCCTGTCAACTGTGATTGGTCGACAGGTGGGGCAGATGATCCAATTCAGATCAGTGACACCCAACTCAGGGCCTCAGGGGAAACTGAGAAGCAAGAATGTCTTCTGGAGCTGAGAGCTATGGGGC